CCTTGCATTTTCCTTTTCAAGTTGCCATAACTTAATTTAAACGGTTATGTCCAGGCCCTCACCCGTATTTCTACCACATTATGTATCCTCACCACGCACCCTGTATGGAATACCAGCGGCAGAGTTGCAACTTAGTTTGAGCCACAAGCAACACACTAATAAAGGAATTAAAACGTAAACAGGTCTGGTTTTAGTCGATATCCTCATATCTGGGCAGAATTCCACGTGTTAGGAGTCAGGTGAAAGCTATAACTCCCGACGCGAGTTTGCTCCAATCCTCGGCGAAATCAAAAGTTTTGAATCTCATAAAATCCAAGTCAACAATCCGTGGTTGATTATTCGAAGGAAAAACCTTCTAAGTCCAGAATATCACAATGCTTAATAATCTCACAATCCGAGGTGATAACATGTCCTGTGCCTTTTACCTTTCATAACTGTTTGAAAGTGCCTTATATCCGTAACGCTTGCTGTCGTTCTTTCCTGAACACACAACGCACACGTCTTCATATAATCATATTCTCTTAACAATCCTGCGATGCCTTTGTGGTGTATCATTTCCCATCAGATCCGTGAAACCAATATTCATGAATCATACGCTTCACCGCCTTAAACCTTGCGATAAGGATCCGAGACCGAGGAGCCGCGGCTGGCGTCGCCAACAGGGTTAAGGGGGATCGGGGCATGCACACCTCTCTTGTCATCCTCCACCACAACTTGACGAGGCTGGCGACTGCGACGGAATTCACTGATAGCAGCAACCAGAATCCAAGCCACGCCGAGAATGGCGGCGAGTACAGCGTAGGCGATCTTGAATTCTCTGGGGGAGTTGGAAATGTACAGTCCGAGACCACCGTTGATGATGCCGAGCGGGATCAGAAGACGGCCGATAATGAGATGCAGGTAAGACCAAAATTGGCGACGACCGTACTTCTTGAACTGCACGTGATGGATGTAACCGAAAATAGGCTGGAAGAAGAAAATGGCCAGGAGGACGAGACCGATGATAGGGTGAAAGTTGATGGTGCTGATCTCGAACTTGGGGAAACGTCAGCAAGGAACATCGATGATGAGGGGCATGAAAACACTCACCAGGCTGGTGCCACCAAGTCTGACCATCTGAGTCAGCTGAATACCCAGGGCCGCTGCTGCGATGTAGAGGACGAAGCCGGCCATCTGAATAAGAGCATGCACGATCCAGCCAAAGCGTCCAGGGACGAGTCTCATCGCAACAGAGCCGACGGGAAACACGATGACGAAGGCGATCGTGGCAAGAACTCCGTGAATCCTCCGAATGTGCATCGCTTCTGTGATGTTGAAGCCTACGAAATTGCCAAAGTTTCCACCGAAGCCATTCCCATTGCCGTTGCCATTTCCATTTCCGTTGCCGCTACCCGGGAAATTTGGGAATTGTTGGGCCGTCGCTATTGAGGCTGGTATTGTGTTAGTAGAAGCTACCATACGATTAGAGTGACCGGAACTTACCCAGGGCCACAAGGCCGAATAGTGTGAGTGTCGTCGTGCTCATAATGTGTCTTACCCTTTTGCTTTTTCTGCTAAAAGACCAGTAAATTCAAATATCGTTTCTTTCTGTTCACCAAGAAAAGTTCTGCAACTTTGACAAGATTGCAAGAAAACTCAGACTCGAAATAAAGAAAAGAGGTCGGGAAACATTTGACAGGCGGCGCTTATCATTTAACAAGACTACCATGGCGGCGGCGCTATCTTGTCTTGCAAATCCACGGAGCTGTGCTTGGGGATGTGCGAGCACGGCCACGGAACGGTGACCGAGTGACCGACGTGGCCGACAAGCCAATGGCTGAGCCGCCGATTTTCAGATCTTGGCACCTGGGCAGCGCGCACGACCTACGCGTGATGGTGTCATTGGTGGCCGTGACAGAAAGCATGGCTCATCTGCAGCGCAGCGGTGGTCGATCCGAACTTGTTTCCTCCCAATGTCTTCCTGTCGAACTGCGGGTGCGTTCGAGGCGTCAAGAGGATGCCAAGACAGGGATGCCGGGTGTGGCTGAGAGGATCTGAGGGTTCAAGCCTTCCTGTCTCTCGCGAGCACGTCCTCATCTGTTCGTGTTCGTGCTTGTGCTTGCTGACAGGACAGGAAGGATTCTGACAATTTTGTGATGAGCTGAGGGAAGCAGGGTTTCATTGCTGAGTGAGCTGTTTTACAGCTGCCAAGATTGGTCCGTCTGCGGGTTTTTTGTCTGTTGTGATGCCTGTGCATGACGCGGCCGCGAGGCTCGAGTCAAATTGATGTAATGAAGGGACCCTGTGGTTGGTGAAGCCGTCGTTGCGGTTGTGCATGAAACCCGGTTCCTGCAGCAGTCGGCGAAACGGAGCGTCGATGGTCTCACACTGGCTTCTGTTAGTGTCTTTGCCGCTGGTTAGCTATGTGTCCTTATCACAAGCAGTTGGGGGATCGACGTTGGGATTGACCCGGGACGCCGTTTGGGTTCTTTGATACATTATGCTGTATTAATCTGGCGGCGGCCTAGCCACACATTCATGTCTAACTACCTCACGATGCATCGGGTTCATCCCGCTGAGCGCTCGCCAGTTGGCTTTGCAGCCCACGTTTTCCGACCTGCATCGCCCGTTCAATCTCCCGTTCTTCCTCCCGCAGCCGAGCCTTGCCCATTTCGAGGCTCCGCTGCTGCCTTCGTTTCTGTTCCGCGACCTTGTCCTCATGCTCTCGCAGTGCCTTTTCTCTCCGGTCCCTGGCTTCTCTAGCCTTCCGCGTAGTCTCATCTTCTTCCGCGGTGGTCTCGCCCTCTGGTGGTGGGTCCAGGGTCTGGATGTACGCCTGAATAAGAGGATCTCTTACTTGCACGGGCAGGGAGATGTATCTGATGTCAACCAACAACTGTGGTGGCAGACGCGACAGATTCGTCTTGTTGTTTAATGCAGAAAGCGGTAATGACTTGAGAAGTGTGGCGAGGTCCGTTTTGAGCGTTGCTTGAGGCATCTTTAGACGATTGATATGCTCTCGGTACCACTTCTCGCGGTCTTTGTCTTTGACGTAGGGGTCCGTCATCGCCGGTTCCTTCCGATATTTCCTCTTGAACTCCTGCCAGTAGAGCTTGGGCGATGCCTTTTCCTGCAGTAGTGCCATGTAGGGTATCCGAGGGTCCTTCTTCTCTTCCTTTGCCCGAAGCTCTTTGATCTCTCTGATCTTGTCCTTGGACCACTCCTGCCATGCGTCCTTCCTTGCTTTCATCGTGTTGAGGATTGTGTATCTCGGATCCTCAATGATGTGACCGTCTTCGATAATCTTCTCCCACGTGTTGTACGGGTTTATGTTGAAATCGTCCAAAAGATCCCTGAACAGCGCAACGGCGTCCTCCTGCGAGAACTCTACGCCCTCCGCGCCTTCGGGCCATTCGTCCATGTTTCCGTCATCGTATTCGCCGGGGTCAAGTCCGTACGCCTCGCCCATTGCTTGCAGTTGGAACGCAATGTCAGCCTCGCTAAACTCCACCACTGCGTCATCGGCTGCTTCTTCCGTGCGCTGGCGCTTGGAGTTGTGTCCATCCTCGCCGTCGTCGCCCTCAGCCTCGTCGTCTGTGACTTCGACCTCTTCGTACTCTGAACTGTCGTCATTGCCATCATCGGGCAATCCTTCACTGACTTCGCGAGGCTGTTTTGGTTGCGCCCCGGGAGTTCCCTCCTTGGCGTCCGGACCTGCGCTTGCGATGCCTGCCTTCTCGCGTATCCTGGCCTTGTCCAACTCGAGGATGCCAGGCATCAGCTTCTCGGGGATTCTCCAGTAACTGGCATTCTTGTCCGGGTTATAGACGAATCGGCGACTATACTTTGTTTCGACAAGAATCCAAGGCTCATGTCCGGGTATAGGAGTCTTTGACTTGGGCTTGTCTATGGGTTCCGGACGCGGGCGCCCGTTGTCTCTGCCCCCTCTACCCCCGTGACCGAACCCGCCACGCTGCGCAGCGGGTGGCTGGTTCTGCGCATTGTACTGCGCCAGGTATGCATTTGCAACGTTCGGATCGGAGAGCTGCGGGATCGTCTGGTATTGAAAGAAGCTCGCGGAGGCGGACGGCGGCGCGGATGTTTGAGGTGCAGCGGCAACGGCGTCGGGCGCACTGGGTCTTGTGTATGTCGATTCTTTCGTTTCGGCGTTGTAGTAGTACTTGTGTCCCGTCGGCGCCGTATGCTCAGTCCATCCGGGCAGAAGAGGCGGCAATGGAGCGGCGTTATCTGACGGCTTGTATGTTGACCTGAGCATGTTGAGCAGCAAGGCGCGCAAGCGCAGCGAATATGGTCCCGATATTGATGAAGAAAGCGATTGTTGATTTTTGAAGGTTGATGGCTGCCCAGGAACGAATCAGTGACGGCGAAACGTCGGGTGCCGATAAGATAAGGTCGCCTTGGAGCTGAGGAAGGTACGGATAGCTCAGCTAGCTGCCCCAGTGACCCCTGCATCTCCGAACCGTCGCAGCTCGGCGAGTGACCAGCTGTCGGATTCTCCCAATCAAATGCTGAACGCCACATACGCAGAGCACCCCCCTTGATGTTCGTACCAATTCGACCAAACTAGGGGACAAATTGGTCCGGAGGATCTGCAGATTGATCAAGTGACGGTTGATAGTCTCTGGCGCTTTGCTTGCAACTGGAGTGTCTCTACTGCCGTTTCTGTCTCCGTCTCCGTTGTCTCTTTCGTTCACTCCTGCCTTTGTCTGGTGTTGTCGATGCTCAACAAACTGCTTCGCGCCTGCAGAGGGTGACTTTTCACGATGGCGCCCGGTCGTTCTGCATCAAGCGGGAATGCTGCGGCATCCGCATTCTCTCGTTTCTGGAAGGTATGTTTGCCTCCAATTACAGCGAGTTTGCTGGACCTGTCTAACTCGAGTCTCAGAGAACTCATGCGCCAGACTACCTAGGGTTCGCGATTCTGCTTGGTACCTGGATGCTGGTAGGCCACAACGCGACTGGTTGCGCCAAAGAGCTTGTCGTTAACTTTGTTGACTCAGATGCTTGTCTTCCTCGAGCCGTTCCACCGCATGTTCTTCATTAACGATCTTCGCATCTCTTATCCCCATGCAGAAGTTGAGCGTGTGCCTGTGTGTAAGTTCAACTCAATTTCTCATCTATTTGTGTGGTGTAATTGACCAGGATTGCAGACATGAACTTTGTTTACGCCCTCTTCGTGCCGCTGGGCGTTCTAATTATCTACAACCTTATGACGAAGGCTTCACCTCATAAGCATGAGGTTACCCACTTGAGCCTTGGTATCTCCGTCATCATGACCTCCTTCATCACAGACCTAATCAAGAACGCTGTTGGCCGACCAAGGCCCGACCTTTTGGCAAGATGTAAGCCTGCCGCTAGCACCAAGCCCGACCTACTTGTCACCATCGACGTCTGCACAGAGAAGGCCCATCACCTCCTACATGATGGTTGGCGGTCCTTCCCCTCCGGTCACTCGTCCTTCTCCTTCGCTGGCCTCGGGTTCCTCAGCATTTTCCTCGCTGGCCAGCTGCACATCTTCCGCCACAACAGCGGCGGCCGTGATCTGAGCCGGGCGTTGATCTGTCTGGTGCCCCTACTTGGGGCTGCCTTGATTGCCATCAGCCGGTGCGAGGATTACCGACACGACGTTTACGACGTATGCGTGGGATCTCTGCTAGGATGGGTGGTTGCGTATTGGAGTTATCGACGACACTGGCCTAAGTTGACTGCGAAGGAATGTCATGAGCCTCATCCATACCCAGGTTCGGAGCCAAGGGCAGGCTGGAATCGACTGCGTGACGAGGAGGAAGCTGGGGATTCACGACCCGACGTAGGCTATGAATTAACCCAGCTAGACAGCCAAAGACGCTAATCACAGCAAGTAGGGTCCGCCGTAGAGTTCGAATGATACAGCATCACTACCAACAGCATCAGCATAGGCATCGAAACAGCGCCAGCCAGCAACGCATCTTCTCACCAACCTTTGCATTGATTTCGTGCATCCCTGCCTTGGATTACTTGCGTTGCCTTTATTGCCTTCATCATTGTCATTGTTGATACTATCTTCGCCTTCCTCGTTTGCGTTGCGCTTCCATCATATATCTGCCTTCACGGTTTGGTCTGTTGAACATGTCACATTACTGGATACATAGGGATACCATGGCTACGCATATGCACTGGCATCAATCAGCCTGTCTGGGGTTTGGGGCATCAATTCTATTGGTACATCAGGGTAAAGGGCATCCATCACGCCCAATCTATGTTTTGATTCTCATCATGCCATTATTTGTCCTCCGTAGACTCATCCTTCGCCAAGTCGTGCTCCTTCAGCAGTTCCTTGATCTCCTCCGCTGTCCAGAGGCGGTGGTAGATCTTGCCATCTTCCGTCTGGCCGACCGTGGCGAACTCGACTGTGGTGGTCGATTAGCAAACGAAGAACACCATGCAGTTTTCGAAAAGAACTCACGCTTCTCAGCACTCAACTTTGTCGAGTCCATGGTCTTGCTCAGAACCTTGACCGCCATACCGCATGCCTCCTTCAGGGTGCAGTCCTCCTTGTAGTCCTGCTTGAGCAAGCTCTCAGCGCTAGCTCTGTTCGCACCAACGGCCGTAGCCTTCCATCCACCGTAGTTGCCTGAAGGGTTGCTCTGGTACAGCTGGAATTGTCTGCGGGGGTCCCAGCCGGCGTAGATGAAGGAAACACCGAACGGTCTGAGACCACCGTGTTGTGTGTAGCCCTGCTTGAGGTCGCAGAGTCTTCGGACGAGCTGTTCGCAGGGGATATCTTCGTTGTAGGTGAGGAGGTATCTTTGGGCGGCCTGGCGGGCATAGTTGATGAGAATGTTGGCATCGGCCGTCATACCAGCAACGGCAGCAAGCATGTTGCTAGAGAAGAGGTGGGTAAGTTAGTTGCTGCTATCGTAATGCCGTCCTCCAGAGAAAAAGAACCCAGGAAGCAAAGTTACATACTCGTTGACGATGTACAGCTTCTCGGCGGATGTGTCTTGCTCCAACAGCTTCGACGTCACCTTGCGCTCTGCAGCAAGAACGATTCCGTCCTTGGCGAGGATGCCAATGGCAGTGCCGGCGTGGGAGATGGCCTCGAGCGCATATTCGACCTGGTAGAGACGGCCCTCCGGCGAGAAGATGGTTGTCTGGAGACATTGTGTAAGTTTGCTGCTTCACCTTTCAATCGGTAGGTCTGCGGGCATAGCAGAGCAAGGGAAGAGCGGGGAGGGGCCTTACGCGGGAATCGTAACGACGAGACATGGCGGGCGACTGGTCAAATTGGCATCAACAGTATCCGGGCGGTGTATTTGCGGTGGCAGCGGACTCGGGGTGAGGCCGACGAAAATGGATTTGTTGTGCGGCGGAATGTGTTGTTTGTCGATTGGCAGGGAAGGCTGTTGCTTTGGGTGCAGCTTGAAGCTCCAGGCAATCGATGCACGCGTTAGCTCCTGTATTGCGCCTAGCCAGCCTGGACCCCAGCTGAGGTAAGAGCCAGCCCGGTGCAGTCGGGTACTTTCCACTTTGTACCTCCATTTGAGAGCACTGGCCCGAGCTTTTGCCGGGCGCCAGGTGAGCACAGGATTCTTACCTCATCGAATGATGGCTCACCGAAGTGGAAGCTCACCGAGGCGGGAAGAACATCAAGGTGTGACGCCGGGCCAACCTGCCTTAGGCAGAAATGATGCCCCCAGCCATTAGCAAAGCGCACGGCTCGGCTGGCGAGCTGCTCCTTCTGCACCTCAGCGGAAGGCCCAAGCCAGCGGTGCTGATTTGCTTACCTAACAGCGCAAAGAGTGGAGGCGATTCGGCATTTTCCCTCCAACCTCGCGCCGTTTTATCGCATCGACCGCCAGTCCACTCACATCCACGCCCGTCACCTCCACCTTTGCGCAAGCTCCCTTCTGCTCTCCCACACAACAGAAAAAAAGCGGCACGCGAACACCTCAACGCCCACCTCCAGACTCTGATTCGGCTGTCGCGAACTGTGTCGCGCGACTGCTGCTTCTTCATCTTGTGCTCGAGATTCTTGTGACAGACCGCTTCAGACAGGATCCGCGTGGCCGGCGCTCGCTTCTCGCGTTGAGCAACAGCATCCGGGGCATCTGTCGCGGCGCGTGGTGGATGGGTCACATATCTTTAGTCCTTCTCGCTGTCGTGAAAAAATCAATGCATGCCTAAGAGAGAACACCACTGCTCCTTTTTGTACCAGCAACCAGAGTAGACGGAAGCCCAATCCTTCAAGCCATACCTACCTGCCTCTCCCCCGCCACAGCCGACCGTTCCTACCCTACCTACCTACCTTGCCTTAGCAAAGGGAGACGCACGGCAAGAAGCCTTCCCGCCGTCGACAAAGCGAACATGTCCGGTAAGTACTGCAGCTTCCGTCGCGCAGCCCCGCCCAAACAGCCAACCACCCCTCGCACCTTTCGCACTTTCCAAACCCCCAATCCCTCCTGCCTGGTACACTTCGCGTTGCGCCTCAGCATGATCATCGACAGTCACTAAGATATGCCACGCAAAGGAGAACCGGAGCCTCGCCGCTCAGTGCGCGCGACCAAGGGCCAGCACACCAAGGCCTTCGACGACCAACCGATCGAGCCTCCCAAAAAGCGAGGGAGGAAGAAGAAGCAGGAGGAGGAGCCCGAGGAGGAGATTATCCGTTGCGTCTGCGGCGCGACCGAGCAGGACGGCGACTCTGAAGAGCCCTGGATCGCATGCGACAAATGCACTGCGTGGCAGCACAATGTTTGTATGGGTATGAGTGTCTTCACGGAAGACCTCCCTAAGAACTACTACTGCGAACAATGCGCTCCCCAAGATCACAAGGAGCTCCTGGCCGCCATGTCCAAGGGCGAGCGCCCCTGGGAGGCCCGCCGCAGGGCCTATGAGGACGAACAGAACGAGAAGAAGAAGAAAAAGAAGAAGGGCGGCAGGGGTGGCAAGCGTGCCAGCGATCCCAAGGAGGACTTGTCGCAGGACGCCAGGAGTAACAAGGCAGAAGACTCCCCCGCTCCGTCGGAGACCAAGGAGAAGAAGGAGAAGAAGGACGGCGCAGCGAAGCCGTCCACTGGCAAGCGGAAGGTTCGCGACGAAGAGAAGGATACGAAGGTTGGTTACAACTCGTCCAGATCGCAAGGCCAATGTGCTGACTTGGTACTATCACAGGCTTCCAACCAGAAGATGCGCAAGCTTTCCGAACCCGAGGCTGCAATCGTCAATTATACCCCGCCGGCAGACCTGACTGCCAAGATTACGGACCTCCCGGACGATCGCAAGGGCTCTGCGCAGCTGCTTCAGAAGGCCCTTGTCGGCGTCCTCACCGCTGCCGTCAAGGACAAGAGTGTTACCCTGCCCAAAGATGTAACTGTTGCGGCCAAGGCCGAGCGCCTGGCTCTCGAGATCGAACGTGCGGTTCATGATACTCACGCCGACCGCAGCCATTACGCTCAGCAGGCCAGGGCACTGTACGCCAACATCAAGATCAATGCCGACTTGACCAAGCGACTTCTAAAGCGCACCTTGTCTCCGCCCATGCTGGCCACCATGAGCGCCGACGAACTGGCTACCAAGGAGAGGCAAGATGCGAATGCGCAGCTGAAGGCCATCTCCGAGAAGCAGTCCATTCTGATCACGGAGGAGGGACCTAGAGTGCGCAGAACACACAAGGGCGAAGAAGTTGTCGAGAATGAGTCCTTTCAACAGTCTGACGATGCTCGCTCATTTATCAGGAGGCCTAGCGCTCGAGATGGTGAGGCAAAGACAGATGGGGAGGCGGACCCTCATAGTGGGCTGCAAATTGACACGCACGGCGCTCGGCACTCGCCCAAGCATCCCGACTTTGACATCAACAAGGTCTTTTCGAGCGTCAAGTCTCCCACCGGAGGCCATATCCGCCGGCCCTCGGCGCCGCTCCACGGACCCGGCGTTGATCCCGATGTTGACAGACTGCTTCAGGAAGAGACGGACTCCCCGCCATACTCACCCACAGACGAGACAGACCCGGACGTGGTATGGCGAGGCCATGTTGTCATGAGCTCAATCACCGATTTTCCCGCAGCGGCCAACTTTGTTGCGGGAGCGAACCTGGCGAACACCATTGGCCTGCCATGGACGAGTTTGATCCCCAGGAGGTTGACGGTAGCCGGACGCATAGATGAGCAGAAGGCGATAGAATACCTCTGCGGTCTACGCTACGCCGACCAGACCGACATAGTGGTCGTGGCCTTGTCGCCAGCTTCTGAGGCGTCCCGGGGCGACTTTCAGCAGCTCTTCAATTACTTTGTAGGCAAGAAGCGATACGCAGTCATTGGGGATAAGGGCCTGGCCAACGTCCGGGACACGTATCTAATTCCCGTTCCGCCAGGCGAGGGCAACTTGCCCGAGTTTATGCTCAACTTTTCGGACAACGTCCTACCGCCGAAGCGGACAGAGCCGATGCTCCTGGGCGTGTTTGTGTACAGGAACAACCCGCGACAGCCACAGCCAGTCAGCGCGACCAGGTCGCCGGTCGCGAACTCACCCACGCCGACCCAAGCTGGTTTCCCGGCGAGGCATCCTTCGATATCTGGCCCGGCCTTTTCGCCGACTGTTCCGCAAGGACCGTTTGCGCAACCTGGTCTTCCCGCGGCCGGTCACGACGGCCACGCACCGCAGCATCCCACGCAGGGCGCGCATCAAGCGGTGCCTCCGAACCAAGCGCCGGCGGGCTACACCGCGGCAAGAGGGCCGGAGGCCGAGCAAGACAGACGCCAACGCGAGGGCCAAGCCCTGGCTCATGAGGTATTAGGTCCCTTGGTCAATAGCAGGACTGTTCCCTTTTTGATGCCACATGCTCATGCAATGACCCGGACAGAATGGGAAGTGATCAAGGGCATTTACGACAGAGACCCGAAAGCCAGAGAAGATTTGCAATACCTGAGCCAACTGCTCGAGAAACAGCAGCCTGTCAAGGCCGGCGACGCTCCTGCAGCCGCGGCGCCTCAGGGAGTTGCGCCGTCAGCATGAGCGCGCCGTGTTCATGCGTCCCCGGAACATGCAAGAACTGGCGTCTATGCGGCTGCCACGGTACATAGTTCTTTTGGAGTTTTACTGTTTGAAGGACAGCTTCTATTTGGGTTCAAGGGGTGGAGATACCATTCCCAGCGAGGGAAGAGAGGCCTGGAAAGGCAGAGGTTTTTTTTTTCTTGCTAGTACTGTTACAACTATCAATTCGAGGCAAATGGTTCTATTCCGCCAGTTTGAATGTGAAATGTTGACGTGTCAGAGTCGCCGCAAAGCCAAGTCGACCGGTGCCATTTCCAGGCTTGACACTGGGTCAATGCTGTCTCATTGGATGAAACGTATCATGGGCTATAAACAACAGAGTTGCGACCATAGCGATGAAAGACCATCAAGAGACAATGCCGAAAAGACCGTGAAGACGATGAAAGCTTCGAGGACTCTCTGGGAGACCCTGCCAAGATGTCTCATCTCGGTCATCTCCAGCGCTGGGGACGTAGCGAGTCAACAGCCCGGCAAGGCGTTGTACAGTCTCCATTGACTCACTGAAACGGACGATACACTGTGGCAATCTCCCACCTCCCGATGTGCTCAATGCTCAAGCTTCCCTGCTCTAATTCCCGTTACAACCCCCGCCCTTTCACTGCCACCTGGCTGTGCCAGAAACCAGTCGCGTCTTCAGCCACAGTCGACAACATACTAAGCTCCAAGCTAGCTACTGGCTGCTCTTCTGCATTTCAAGCCGTCTTTGCCCCACATACATGACGACAACATGGGGATCTTTTGGAGCAGGGAAGCGTTAGCAAACAAGCAGAGAACAAGCATTCTATTTAAGGCTGCGCGCCGACTGGGTCCGGCACCGCTTTTCTCCTTTTGGGGTGCATAGGGACCATCGCTGTGCATAGGTTATAATTTACGTATTCCCATTTCAGAACGCCTCGGTCGCTTCTTTACTGCAACTTCCCTCATCTTTCTCTTTGCTCCTTCCGGGTAACAGCACGATTGTTCATGTCAGTCAGCCGACGTGACGTCACCATCATCAAGTCCCTCTTTCAATGACTCAAACGCTGACATCGAGATTAAGCAGATTTTCTTCACACCGAACCAATATCACCACAACTCGAACATCACAACACCACGATGGCTTGCGGATCAACTTCTACTGGCCTCGTCAACCGCAACGGCCCTGGAAGCGCAGCTTCTTCCATCGTCGAGAGCATCGTCAAGCCTGCCGAGGCCACCGGCGGCAAAGCCAAGTGTTTCGAGGTATGTACACGAGAACAGATGGGCGTGGTACTCGGCGAAACCCTTTTCGTGGCCCGAGGACCAGGTAGTGCAAAGTTCGCTGCCCTTGCTTCTTTTTGAGTAGCTCTAGATGCTCGATTTGCTCTCCCTTCCTGGCCTGCCCTCTGCCTCTGGGATACCCAGTACCCTCTGCTTTATGGACCTCCTCGGCCCCTCTTCCTCCTCTTCAAAGGCCGCGCTCACGGCGAGGAAGAACTAAGGGTAAGCAAGCAAGCAGGGGGTAGGTCGTCAGGCAAGGAGCAGGTACGGAGCAGAGCACCAGAGAGCATGGCAGACATCAACCACAACAATAGAATACTGTACTAACGTCGAATTGCGCAGTGTGACGGAGTAGAATGTTGCTGTATCCCGTATGTTTGCCCTATTCGACTTCATTTGCATTAGCTGACGTCGCTTTTTTTTAGAATTCCTTGCACTGTCATGTAAATATGACATGTGACCAGACATGAATCATGGAATTGGACAACAGGAGAGTGCTAAATTGGACCGATGATACCGTTTTATGGAGTCAGTAGCCGTGCGGAACTTTGTTTGGGCGTATTTTATAAAAAATCAAGAGCATTTGGGCTTGAATTTTGACTTGCACTTTCACCTTGCGTGATGCCGTAGATGTGATTGCATATCCACGCCTCATTAACAAACATATTGAGATCTCTCTAGTGTTACAAATAACCCGAGGCCCGTCTGGAAACTGCTCTCATGCTGACTTCGCGCCCAGGTTTTAATTCGAACACCGCAAGTGGCCATAAAACTGCACCCGCAGGCTCCGGGCTCACGGCCGAAGACCCGGAAAATACCGCCCCACTCCCGGCCCGGGTGCCCCGGGACGGGCAACTGCCGCAGCCTGCGGGGTGCTTGCCGGTGACCTTGCTAGGTAAGCAAACCAGTGCTTTATTATGCATATAGTGCCTTGCATTCCTATCAAAAGTTAAAATTTCTGAGCAACCCCCCCTCACTTCACTCTTCATCATATCCTGGTGTCTGTAAAGACTCAACCTACTCTCAATCTATCTATTCTCCTTTCCCGTCTCCTTCTCATCTCCTATCGTTACCATTATTATACTCGGCCTCCGCTCAACAAGCTGTTCGATAACAATAGCATAATTCACTCACGATGGCGAGCCCTGAATTCAACAAACCGACCATGCTCGTCATTACTAGATACGATCACATGTGGAGGGCGTATTACTTAGGTGAGAAAGACGAGACTTTATGGTGACCGCAGAGTTCTTTACAGAGCCGAGACTGGGCTCTTCCTATCAGGCCGAAACACACTAATTTCTAGCGTACAGCCCTGTTGAAGCATTTAGGTATACCTGGGAGGCTGTTCACCTTTAGTACGAGATCCTAAAGGATTATCACGATACTTCAACGATACGTGAGCAAGCCCGTATGCAAACTAAGCCATAAAAGCGAAAGGAAATTTTGGGACCGGCACCGAACAGGAACGTCAAAATGACGAGGACATTACGAAATTGGTTTGAGTAGCATTGCTGTTGAGCTCCTTGATCGCATCATCCGGCCTCCTGATTACATAACTTAGATGCTTTCCCGTGCCACTCACTAACAGTGGACAGCGCTGAGTAAAACGCCAGGACTGACATCTAGACTGTATAGCTGGAGGGGGCCAAGCGGACGTAACAGGCCGCCCAGGATGACGGCAACCGTGGCGCTATGCTTCCCTCTCCTCGGCTACTGCTGCCACGTTCTGCCGACGCTGGTGTGTTCCTCACTTCCACTCAGGATGAGGATGCGCCCAACACTTCCAGCTGCACCACTAAGTCCCCTCAAGTTCGGCCCCAGTCCCAGTCCAACATAGCAATCGAGAACGCCTTCCTGCCGCACCAGTGCATCCATATGAATGTCAGACGAGGTGCTGTAATACTCCTGCGATGATGAACAACGGCAGCAAGCTGCCAGAAAAGATGGGGTTCATGAAATTACAGCGGCAAGAGGGCCTGTTGTCCAATATGAAGGGTGTCGGGGGTGCACCGGAGGCGTCCCGCACCTATTTTCGGGTACTTTACAGTTAAAAAAGGAGGTAAAGGGAATATACGATGCAGCTGCATGGGATCAAAGATGGTATCGAATAAGTTGGGTCGCGATGAAACTGTGCGTGTTGGAATCTGGTTGTTTTAATGGTATAGGCAACTGCCTAGTCAGCCTGACATAAATTCATGAACTGTCCTCCGGGGCCTTCTTGTAAGCTGGTTGCGTTGTTCGTCACCCGCACGTGTCCTCATGTAATGTTTTCCACATCTGTACCAAGTTGGTCACCATGTCCATTTACTCTCGCGAGTAGTACCTTGAAATGTGTCAACTTTGGATACGTCTGGTATCACACCAGCTCTCCAGGCAGAAGAGCTCCTAAAGTCTAACTTGGAGGTTGGGGAATACCATTATGTGCCTCCAGCCTCGGCGCCCAATGACAGGTTCTCCTGCCAGTGTCGGTGCCACATTCTCTTCCATGACTGCAAGATATGACTTTGGCCCATGTCAAGGTCTCCGACAGTATTCCAAAATCTCGTCTGTTGTCCGCTCGAAATACTGTGGGATTTCTCCCTTAGCCGTAGGATACTTGTTTTTAAAGATATGTTCTGTGCGACTTTGGCCTTTGGGCAAGTAGTGCAAGAGATATCTCACAAGCTCTTGCCAGGGCCGCTGAAAGACGCAGCCCCAGCATCGCTCTCCTAGTCGAGATGCATCTCTTTCAAGCTCGCGAGGCACCTTTTCTTAGCCTCAATTTCCTTTTCCTTGGCGTCATGTAACCGTTCCAGGGCCGTAAGTAAATTTTCCTCAGTATCCTCTGTGCGAGGTTGGACGCCTGAAGTCTGCTGTTCGGGCACCGGGCTCTCGTTCACGTTCTCATAGGGTACCTCTTCGCTCCCTCTCTAGAGAAACATGGCGTCTGCGGTAGCCCAAACCTCCAGCTCGCGTGCCGTGGCTGCTGCCTTCAGCTCTTCTGGTGTCATCTCTCCATCTACAGTCGAGCTGATCACTTCCGAGACTTTGGGGATCTCGATGCTGCCCAAACCTTCCAACAGGCGCTTCGCCTTGTCAACCTGAGCACTGATGGCCGCCGTCTCCGCTCTTGTTCGATCGAGGTGGGATTGCATCATCGCAATGGCAGATTCGCGGGCTTGGTGGGGTCGGTATTCGTTGAGGACGTGGTGGAAGTTGATAAACAGCGTTCTGAGATCTTCGACCTTGGCTTGGCCCTGCTAAAGTCAGCGGAGGTCGGGCGTGCGCGAACATGGCGGAGGGTTTACATCGTCTGGCGTGGTGGCCATGACGCTGACCAGCTCGAGGAAATTCATCAGGATGGACTTGGCCATCTTCTTGAGCTCAAACGCACGGTCAAGGTGCTTGCCATCCTTTTCCTCAGGGGGAGCAGGCGCAAGTCGCTGAATCTCGCCCTCTTCCAGCGACGGAAGTTTGTCGTCAAGCTAGACAAACGTTAGCTTGCAAAGCATGCGAGAACTATCCAGAATTCAAACACACGGTATAATTTGCCCCAAAAACCTTCCATGTGCCAGAAGCTGGCTCGGATGGGGGGTTCAGATTGATGAGCTCCTCTGGAATATTGGGTATGCGCGGCGGCAAGTCCTTGACGTCGACGCCATCCTTTTCAGCCTGGGCCTTGCGCAGGTCCTCGATGCGAGCCAACTTCTCGGGTGTAAAGTCCTTCCAGAAGGGAGGCGGGTTCGGGAAGGTTGCGGCCACCGCATTCTGCGATGGCTCCTCGGGGTTGTCGGCCATGTTTGCGAAAGTCGAGCGAGGTTTCTGAGTCGGCTGGGAGCGTGGAATGGATTCAATGAAGCGGGGTGGTCATTGTCTTGATTGTCTGAGAGACTGTGTCTGTCCACGTGTCTCTGCCTCTAAAGGCGGCGCAAAGTTGGAGGGTTGAAGAGTGCCTTCCCAGGTCGACGAGGTTGGCTTTCAAGGAACGCGACTACCTCATGGAGCGCGCAAACAGGTCCGGCAGGCGCCCGAGCCACCAGGCCCCCATTCAGCTGATCTAATCCGGATGTGGCTTAGCGTCACCTGTCCCACCTTGTCAACTCCACGTCCCCAGCAGACAGCTGCGCTACGTCGCTCTGGCGATAATTAGCTTGCCGAACGATGATTTCATCCCCTTTCGATTCTTCAACGCCAACAAGCCATTGAGCACTCCCACCCTTATACCCGGCCTCGAAACTTTCCTGCGCGCTCTGAGGCGTCAGAAAGACGGACTCCTTTCAACATGGCCGACGTTCGTTCCCTCCTCCGTCAGCAACGCGCTGCTCGACGAATCGAACATCCCCACGCGGCATACTCAGATGCGGGCAAGCTCCTCTGCACACTCTGCCACGAAGCTATCAAGTCCGAATCTCTTTGGGAAGGCCACCTGAGAGGTTCAGGCCACGCAGGAAAGATCAAAACCCTCCAGCAAGCTGCATCGACCACCACAAATGGCTCGGCAACCGCGGACGCCGCCCCATCCAACAAGCGAAAACACGACTCGGACGAGGATATGGCAGAAGACGAAGGCATGGCTGAAGCTGTGCGGAAGAAGAAGAGCAGGACGAATATGAGCACTCCGGCTCGCTTGTCCGCTGGCGAGGCGGATCGCGACCTGAAGGACGTGACACTGACGCCTCCGTCGCTGACTCGCCGGACATCGACAACGCCCGTTCAAGGCGTCGAGATCCAAATTCCCTCCCGACCTGCGACGCCCGCGCATAAGGACGGCAACTCTTCCAACTCCACCCCCCTCAACCAGCCTGTTGGCCCATCACCACTGATCCCTCGAGAGGCATCGCCCACACTGGCGAGAACGAAGGCGCCGCCCCAGCAAAACGGTACGGCCGCACCGGCTGAGGCTGCAGGCCAGGTGGATGAAGATGAGTGGGCAGCCTTTGAGGCGGATATTGCAGCTGCAACAGCGCCAGTGTCAGAAGACGCGGTGATATCCGCCCCGGCAATGACTGCAGAGGAACACGCAGAGGCTGCAAAGACAGAAGAGGAGGAGCGAGAGAAACGCCGGCTTGCTGCGGAGAAGGACCTTGAGGACGAGAAGGAGGAGGCTACGCGAGCCTTGGAAGAGGAATTCGAGGATATGGAAGAGCTCGAGGCGAGAGTCAGGCGGTTGAAGGAGAAACGCGAGGCCCTGAGACACCAAGGAGATGCCGGTTCCGGTGCCGCCTCCAGCACTGTTGTTGCTGCCAAACCTACTGAGGCAGATGGAAAGGAGAATGTAAAAGCGAATGCCGAGGAGGAGGAAGAGGATGATGACGATGATGAAGAAGAGGATGACTTCATGGGCTTCCGGTATCGCTCATGACATCCGGCGTCTAGTCTGAAGTCGTTGCTGCCAGGTCATAAGACGGCGAACAGGTGTTTTCAAGCGGAAGGTCAGGGCGTCTTTTTGGTGTATAAATACTGTAAATTACCTTCTCTTCGGGTTGATAACATTGACGTCCTGTAATGCCTATAGGCACTTTGGGAACATTCAACAATTACTTGCCTTGCGCCGTGTTCATTTGCTGATTCGAATCAGCGGCTGTGAGGACGGGCTTAGCTGTCAGGATACCAGCGGACTGTAGTGGTGGTTGAACATACCGATCTGAACTCCCAGATGAGGAATCGTTCTTGCTGTTGATGGAGTGTAAGCCATTCAATAAAACGCAGGCCACGCTAAAAGGGTGAAAGCGCAGAGATGGTCAGTTGCATGGCATCAGTAACGCCCTCATCTCATGTGCGACTCACATTGAATTTCAACCGACGGGTCTCGAGAACCTATGCATTACTATATCAAAAACTCCATCTATGAGTAAACATTACTTTTACAGGTATCCTCGGTCGTGGGGAATTACATTCGCCGACCCATTATCCCCTTCCTACATCACTTCTTTCCAACAAAAAAGACAGACAAATGCAACCGTGGTACAGTTACTAGATCAGAACGCAACTGCCGCCGTCGGTGCGCGAGGGACATGCGCCGGAGCGGTCGAGGCCGCCGTGCTCTGGTAGACAGTCGCCGTGACGGTGTTGTAAACGGTGATAAAGGCCACAGAGATGGGGCACACCGAGTTGGAAGGCTCAGCTGTGAAAGTCGTCGTGGCGGTGACGGGAGGCTGAGGCGGCGTAGTAGGCTTCACACAGTGGGTGCCGTCCCAGTGCTCGCAGTGGTGTGTGCTCGTAGTCGGCTCGGGTCCAGAGCTACTCTCCTGACCGCCGCTGCTCTGGGAAGGCATCTCGCTGGTGTGAGAAGGCCCAGGCTTGTCGCTGGTGTTTCCGGGCGGGTGTGTGGGCTTGACGGACTCGACAGTTGTCTTGATGGTTGTCGCAGAGCCGGTGAGGGTGACTGTCGTAGGCTCGTAGGTGTTGTTATCGGGTGTCTCTGACGGGCTATCACCCTTACTGGATGTGGCAGAACCGCTTTGGGTAGCTGTAGCAGAGCTGCTCTTAGAGTCGGTAGAGCTACTGTGATGAGGCGGCTTGGTCTCAGAGCTACCGTGTGCGTGAGTCTTGGTTTGGTCGTCGTCTGAAGGAGGCTGCGACTTGGTTGTGACTGAGCCGTCAGGCCTTTCGCTGACAGTCTCGGTGCAGGTGACTGTGACCGTCTCAGGTGGAGGGGCAGAAGAGCCCTGGCTGACGTAGAACGTCTCGGTAATCGGTGAGCGGGTGACGGTGAGGGTGAAGGTCTGGGAGGCTGTGATAGTCTCTCTGATCACCGGAGCAGTGGCCTCAACAGTCTCAGTCTCAGTCTTGGCAGTAGTAGTCGTAGCGGTGGCAGTGACTGTCACGGTGCTGGGCTCCGGCGCAGGCACACACGGGCAGGTGTTGGTGTCTGGGTAGGTGCGTCCCCTCAAGTTCTCTGGTCTGGCAGCGGCAATTGCAGTGAAGGAGAGGATGGCCGCGGCCACGACGTTGCCTTGACGAAGCATTTTGATGGCGAAGTGAGAATGGATGGGTACCTTAGGCAAGCTATAACTTCCAGGAGAGGGTCGGTAAGACGAAAGGATAGCGTATAAGCTGCTGCGAGGCCGAGTGGTTGTTGAAGGCTTGCTTGTCTGTTTTGTCTGAGTGAAGCTGTTGCTGTTGATGAAAAGAAGTCTCCATGAGGAGATAAGACTTCTTATATGGCAGTCGTTCAGTTGGATCGTCCTCAAGGAGTATACAGCAGGCCTTGACAGCCTTGCTGAGATTCATGATTATCCATCATCGTGGAATGACGCTGCCCTGTATTGCGACCTAGCGCTTGACGAACAGCAATAGAGCTTGCCACAGCTTTGAGAGAACAGGAGACCAAATCCTTCAGACGGCCTCAAGAGGGATGTGAAAATTGCGTCACATTTCTCTCAGATACAGTACTGTCGCTCACTTGAGCCTTTGCCTGGTACCAAAAGAGTAAACCACAGAGCACTTGGGGGCAAAGCAAGGGTTTCACAGAACCAATAGTGTGTGTGGTCAAAACGTCCCAAGGGACCAGGGAGAAAACAATATTGAAGAAGATCCAAGCACCGGTATTGGGGCACACGTTCCAAGGGATGCTTCCGCTTCCACCCTCTGGCCGATGAGCCGATAAGATACGGCATACGGCACCGGCATCTTCGCACCGGGGACGACCACGACGATGGCGACGACGATGCAATACTGATGGATCAATCTATTTTCCGGTGGAGATGGCTTGCCAGGACAGAGTCAAAGACCGTGGCTCCGATCGAGTACGTACCAATAGGGTGTTCGGCGGTTGTCCGGTGCAAGAAAGCGATGGCCAGTTCGGGATGTTTGCAAGGTCCAGGTTCCAAAGGCTTTGCCGGGTCTCTTTTCCAACAGTCTGGAAATCGTCCCAAAGACTGCAAACTCGATGGAGACCTCGGCGCTGGCCGTCCCGTCCCGCTGTGGGGCCCGTCATCTCGGCATCTCTGATTCTCCGGGCTGCCGAGGCCGACCGCCTGCCCAAAGCGGGACGTCATTCCATCCTTCGCAATCTTGTGTTTTCTGCCAACCGCATCGCAATCAAAACACACGCCATCAATCAAGAATCTCGAGCCTAGCGTCTGGCTATCGTACTGCAGCACGAGGCTTTGGTGGCATAGCTACGTCCATTCTTTTTCCATGCGATTTTCTACTTGAAGTAACGACCTCCGACTTGCGCGCGCGCTCCCGACTGCTGCGCCCGCAACCACGCAACCTCCGACGATTACGGCGACGAGGGGCAACCGGATCACTCGATCGTGATGGGTGCTTGTGCGTCATGCCTTGGGCGGGGGAACAAGGACGTCTATGACGAGGTGGGTTGCGTTGCACTTCTTCACCCACTTGACAGGGTAGTATGCAGCGGCGGCTAACTAGCCCTCTTTTTTCTCCCCTCTCCAGGACGAAGAATCACGACTCCTCTATGACGATCCGAACAACGTACACTATGGAAGCTTTGGCGAGCAGAGCGTAAACGGTCAGGAGGACCCGATGGAGGTGCAGCGAGAGACTGAGGCTCTGCAGCGAGTTGTGGCAAAGACATCCGAGTACGTACTGCGTCGTGCGTACTGCGCACTCCCCTCCGACGACGACCCAAGCTCCGGGACGGCGGGCTTGGTCTTCATGTCCCTCCCAGGAATGCTAACATCGGTCTTCCTAGCAACATGGTCGACATCTTCGAGATTGCCCCGCAGGATCACGCACATCGACCTGCACCGACTACGTTTGCGTATGCAGGGCAGGAAGCCCGCATCGTACGGTACCAGCACTTGTTGTCCAAACTGGATTCCAAGGATGAGACCCCAACAGGTGTCCAAGTGGATTGGCTTCCCCAGGAAGACGACACCATCGAGATGCAACGCGGCGTTCCGACCGTCAAGACAGAGTTGGACAAGCCCCTGGTTGGCACATTTGCAGATGCAGCGGCGGCCATGGCATGACATGCGCCAGGTCATGAATCATTTCCCTTGCCCAATATCTGCTCCTGTTTTTGGTCCAGTTTTGCACTGCATTTTTAACCGACGGCGAGAGCGGCTATGCGTTTCCCCTTTTCTGCTTCCTGTATTGCTACTAAGTTTCGGATTGGTCGACATCGAGCCCTGGGTCCTGTCGGTATTACGGCAAACATGGGGCGGACAGCTTGGAGTGACGACATTTTTTGCCCATGCTCTTCTTTTTTACCCCCTCGATACCCCCCCTCTTCGAATGCAGGCTATGCACACACAAACTCAACGCTTTTCAACCACAAAAAAATACCCACACATACACCCATAGGACACCCACATTCTCTCACATATCGCTTCCTCTTCACTTTGTCAATCCCCTGTATTGGTCTGCCACCCCTGTATAAAACGCCTGGGCAACAACGAGGTTATGAGGAAAAGGTGGACACGATGGGCCCCAGAAACCCATCACTTAATCAATGAAAATTCCCTCCATCCCACTTTGGCGGCCCCCTGGTTCGCACCATGTCGGGCCAATGACTGCGTCTCGAAGATTCTTCAGCGGCAGGCCATGGGTTGACTAGCCCATTGAAATATGGCCACGTGCACCTCCGGCTGATGTTTACCTTTTCTAGTGTGGACCCTTTGGCAAGGGATGTTGCATCCTAGTCTGTTCCATGGTTGGAGGCGTAGCGTTCTTAGCCTCAATTCGGACCAGCATACGAGGCTGGAGGGCAAGTTACGTCTTTATGGAGGGGAAAACAGGAGGGAAGCACTTGGAGGCTCACATATTCGCTCTGATGCCCGCCATTCAGGGTTGTGCGGGAGTCTGTGCGGTTCCCGAGTCTTATTGGCGGAGATGAGACAAGGAAATGGTGCCTTGAAGTGAAGTGGGATGGACGACATGAAGATGAGGGGTGGTTGCTGCGGCCAGATGGGGCGGCCTCCCAGTCCCCGTCCCAGTCCATCAAGCCCGATACAACCCACCTCGCTCTGTGTCGCCCGTCTCGTCTCCGTCGCTCCCACACTAAGCCCTGCTTTTCTACTCCTCCCGCTCCTCCCTCCACTTTGGCCTTGGGTCAGATGACAGGTACCTGTCAGTGGTTTTCTCTGGGTTATTGAACACCTGCAAAAAGTAAAAGGGGGGGTAAAAACAAAGCCCCGGGGGCCTATTCAGTACCGGGATTGCTTCACTGCGCCTGCCTCAACCACGACACTGATGACACGTGAGAAACGATGACGATGACGTTCCCTCGAAGACTAATAAACGGTCTTTCTCCATGCAGAAGGAGGGGTTAGAGCGAGGCATACCGCGGGCACGCAGCACAGCACAGACGAAGAATGCCTGCCTGCCTGCTGGACGAAGCCGACGGACCGCTCTTTTGGCCTGGCCTGGCCTGCTTTGCTCTGTAACTTGGCCAGATCGACGCAAGACCGTCTGCTGTCCTTCGCCTCTAGTTAGCGACATGGCCTTCTCATTCGTCGCCAGAGACCGCTTTCTGCAACGCTTGCTTGCCTGATAAGCACGCCAAAACCTGCTGGATGGGCAGCTGTGCAGGAAAAAGTGGGAGGACCGCCTTCTTCGATCCCCTCAGTCGCGCGTTGAAAGGCAAGACCGCCTCGCCGCTTTGGTGTCATTCGACTTTCATGGTTGTCATCTGTACCTCTTTGGGCCGGGCTTGCGAGGAATGGATTTATCGTCGGCAGAGCATGATGAAGAAACGGTCAGCACCAAGGAGGAGCAGGAGGAGTCGGAAGAGGAGCCCGCAGCATGAGGCGCAAGACAGGTATCCGTTCTACTAAGAGGGGGCCCTGCAAGTTGTCCCTGCCGCCGTCTAAGCGGCGGGCCGGATTTCGCGACGAAATAAACGTAGACCAGCCTTGATTCTCTCTCTGCTCCCGGCGCGCGCGCACAGAATGTCCACAGCGACTGACACACTTCTTTTTGCGCGCGCGCGCACACACAAATTAATCTTACAGAATATGGCCCATCCTATTGATGATCATGATCCAACAGTAATACAATAGTTGCCAACCCAAAATTTCCACTTTCCACTGTCTTGAAATTTTGCAGAGAGAAAAAGGACCGTCCCGAGCGTAACCACACAGGAGACCAAAAACGAAATGTGAAAAATGCAGCGAATGAACGGCCGTTACGTGGTTGAACTTGGGAAAAACCCCCCAAGCTAGGGTTACCAGGAAAGCCTCCTCTCCAGTCCCGCAGTGTCAAAGTCATACCTCTCTTTCCCCCTTCTTTTCTCACACCGGCATTCGACTCTTGGTTCCTTCCCTTTTCGTCGTTGATAGGTATCTCCCGCGTGAAGATCAAGGAGCCACTGATATAATCATATTAGCAAAGGTCTTGCGCGACTCGGCTTACCCCTGAACAACTTTCAACTGGACCCCCCATCTCACCCGCATGGGACCAAAAAAAGGTACAAAGTGCAATAATAATATCAGAGATTGAAAAAAGGAAAAAAGGCTACAGCAGAGGGGTAAAAAAAAAAGACGACGAAAATCAGAAAGAGGGCTTGGAACATGTCCAACTTACCAATCCTGGAAACCGAACTCCCCCTCTCTATATTGACCCAGCGGCCACAACAACCACGACGATCATATCGTATTTTGTCTGGTCCAATGCGATGTTTGCATCTCGTGGATCTGGCGCTGAACTTCTTGCATCTCGATACTTGTCCGTTCGATGGTCGCCTTGCGGTTTCCTTCGCGGTACCAGCGCTCAATGTCCCTCTGCATCTTGTCGACCCGGCGGTTTTTCTTGTCAATGTCGTAGCACAGCTTGCACTTGTCCGCCTCCTGGATCGTGTCGAATACCAACTTCAAGCCGCACGTTTCGCCTGTCCGGTACTCCTTGTTGCATTGTTGTTTGAACTGACCCCATCTCCAATACCCGCAAACCCAGCGCGTTTGGTAGAAATAACACATCTTTTTTTCCTCTCCCCTCTCTTTTGCTGGCTGCTCCCGTTTCCACACCCTTTTTTGGTGTGTATCTTCGACTCGGTAGCCTCCCCCCTTTTTTGGTCCCCAAAAAGACGAGAGATGTCGTCTCCGGTTTTCGTTGTTCCGTTTCTTCGTTTCTTTTTCCTTCTCGTCTGCCGGTTTTATTCTCCTTGCGGGCCGGTCCGTGGCTGGCTAGCTGGACAAGGTAACTAGCTCGTACGTCGATGCAAAAGTGGTGGAGAACCTTGTTATGAAGGAGGAGTCAAAATGGTGAGGAGGAGAAAATGGAGGAGAAGCAGCAACGCAACCCGAGAATGGAGTAGAAGTGGCTCGTTTCGGGGTTCTCGGTAACGATATGAAGTCACTGGTGACGGGACTGAAGCAAGATCAAAGGTTTGTTAGCCATCTTCTTATTTATCTTTTCCACCCCTTTTTCGTGTGTGTATTTTCTCCCTCTGCCTTGCCTCCCCATTCTTGTAGCTCGCCCGCAATGAGCGGTGCCCCCCTCCTCACATCTTCCGCTGCAAATATGCAATCCCATGCAGATGCAATGATGTCTTTTGACATTTGCGTCCAATCATGGTGCCGCCTTTTCAGGGGTAGCTTATTTTGACTTGTCAAGGGGATTCAACCTGGACGTGGGATGGGCAAAGAAACATAAACCAGGAAGCCGTCGAAGGAAAAGAAAAAGGTCGGGAAGGGGGAGGGGGTGTAAACAGAATTTTTGTTGAAAGTTGACTGGACTGACTGTGTTGGTGGTATTATTGAGCAACAATGGCCGCGGGAAGCAGCGGGAAAGTGACAGCGGTGGTGGCAGCAAGTGGCAGGCGGCCAGCAACCCGTTTCGGCAGAGGCGAAGAGTTTCGTTCGCAACCGCGATCGAGAAGTCTCTTTTTGGTGTTTGGCACAAAGGCGGTTGGGCAGCAGCAGCCGGCAGCAGCAACTTTCCCTGGAATGATCTGAGGGGTGTGATTAGGGGGCGTGCGTATTTGTCTTTTGTCTGAAACGGGCTTTCGAGGTGAGGATGATTCGTTTCTTTCCGTTTTTGCTGTTGTGTCGTCTCTGACGGTTCGTCTGATATTCTCGGTTTCCCCTTTTGGTGTTGTCGTCTTGGGAGAGGTTGCTTTGTCGTTGACGTACTGTTTCTGCCCACGGAGGTCCTTGTCTACACTTCTTCTTTCGCCTCGTCCTGACTGGAGGGGGAATCAAGGCTAACTTATACTTTGTCAAAAAATACCAAGGTCATTCATTGGGGACCCGCACGATGTGTTGTCACGACCGGATCGAACGCATACGTCCAGTTTGTCCAGTTTATCCCATACGTTGCCCCTATACACACACACTACACCACCCTACATTCTACACTACACAACGCACTTACGCACATACATGCGTACATGATGCACATCCCGCTTTTACTCGACGATTGTTTCTATTCGAAATACTGGAGCAAAGAGGGTTCCAATTGTTTCTCGCCTCCCCTTATTCAATGTACACCTGCGTCTGCGGTCAACGAGACGACTACATCCACGGACCACGAGCCGCTGCGTCTATTCCGCGAATTACACAATATAGGAGGAACAAGAAGGAAGAGATGTACATGATTTTGCGGTTGGCAACTTGCAGCGGCTCGTCATGGAACCGGTCTGGCTGAGCATGCGCAAGAATGGTTGTCAAATCCGTCCCTGCAGATACAAACCACAGACATCGGACAATTGAACATGCCAGCAGCCGTCCAGCAACGGACTAACTCTTTCCTGCCTTTGTTCCCCTCATTGGCAACCATGAGACGTGTCTCCTTGCTTGCCACGTCGTTGAAATATTCGAATTGCTTCGTCAGGGGACTCGACGTTGTCCGATATTTTCTCCACCTTCAGGGGGTTTTCTTGAAGGAGGGGAGTACATGATCAATGGGGAGAAGACGTGTTCAATGGGCGATACAAGGATCCGCGGTCGAGAAGAGGATGTGTTCGTCTGCGGTTAAGGACCGGGGAGAAGGAAGACCACTTCGATGATGTTGGCATGCGTCGGTGATGATA